TAGTTTGATCCATTTGCTATCTGTGATGCTGCTCTCTGCGGGAGAAAAGGAGGCTGTGCCATTCTAAGTAATTACAGGGTCCTTTTAGATTAGTAGTAATTTAATAACCAAAAGGGCACGTTAATGACAGAGCGGGCAAAATAATGTTTTATGTTAAATTAGGCCTGGCTGTGTGTCTGTCTACGTGGCCACTCTATTATGGTGGGAGAAAGAAAATAGCCCTCCCTCCTAAGGCGTACAAGGCAATTATCAGTGGGGAAAGATGTATTCTAGCTTTAAGCAAAAACAATCATATATTTTTCTTTGCCATTAGCGGTACGCTTAGAGTGTGGTTTTATTAAACATTATCATCTCTGTTTTCCCAGTGTAAAATATTCTGTTTCAGTGTAACATCACTCATGAAGACAGTCACAGACAGAGTTGTTCCTTGTCCTCCAAGGCCCCTAGAATCATTGGTGCTAATTTATTCCGTTGCGGTTCCGCCGGTAAATGAAACGAATTCAATTTCCTCTGCTTTTAACACTCAGTGGGTTCGACGCCTCGTCTGATTAAACATAAATTATAAATGTCCTTATCAAGGAGAAGAAGAATATGCTCTGATTATCGCAACACTAGATAAATTCCACTGTGTACTCTTGCGTTGAATGCATTTCTAAATGACTATATGTGAAATCCAACTTTGTTTTAAACTAATCTGAGAAATGTGGTAAGGTCATCTTTAAAGCTAGGAAGAAATTATATATATATATATATATATATATGTATATATATATGTATATGTATATTTAACTTTAGCTATTTTCACAGAATTCGGTGCTCAATTTAATTTTTTTAAAAATATTTTTTAAACTAATATAGTGAGAGAGGATGACAGTGGGGAAAGATGGAGCGAGGAGGTGTCAAAGGGCAGTAGGCCGGATTTGAACCTATGCCGACAAAATAGACATGTGCCTGAGGATAGTGGTGTGTGGGTCAGCTGTTTGTTCATCCGCTCCTCCCGCAATTGCTAACCCATCCGCAACCGCCCGACTATATGTGATAAAGTGAAAATCTGAGGCCCGCACCCGACCCTAACCCGCTAATATAGAAAATGCCTGTAGGCTACACTCTTAGAAAAAAGGATTCCAAAAAGGTTCTTTGGCTTTCCCTGTAAGATAACCCTTTTTGGTTCCAGGTAGAAATATTTTAGGTTCCATGTAGAACTCTCTGTGGAAAGGGTTCTACCTGGAACCAAAAGGGGTTATTGAAAGGGTTCTACTATGGGGACAGCCAAATAACCCTTTTTGGTTCTAGATGGCACCTTTTTTTCTAAGAGTGTACAGTCAGAAACGGCGGAACGATATTTTGACAGTGGGTGCAGGATTTTTTGCCTCATTTAGATATGTTTCTGCTTATAATTTCGAACATTTTGGTAGGCTATTTATTAGTCAATGTCACGATCGTCTAGAACAGGAGACCAAGGCGCAGCGTTGCGAGTGAACATATTATATTTATTAAATGCTCACAACAACAAAAGCAATAAACAACGAAAGCGTGACGTCCAGTGTACAACACGAACACACACGAACAAAATCCCACAACCCGAAAGGAAAACAGATAGATTAAATATGGCTCCCAATCAGAGACAAACAGCCGACAGCTGACACTCGTTTGCCTCTGATTGGGAGTCACACCGGCAAACATAGAAAATAAACCACCTAGAACACCCACCAGAGAAACCGAAAACATAGAATGAACACACCCTGGTTCAACATAATGAGTCCCCGAACCAGGGTGTGACAGTACCCCCCCCTAAAGGCGCGGACTGTGACCGCGCCTAAATACGAGCAAAACAGGGGAGGGCTGGGTGGGCATTCTTCCTCGGCGGCGGCTCCGGCTCCGGGCCTGATCCCCACTCCCTCTCCAACCCCCCAAAGTACCCCCGGTCCCGTCTAGCCCCGCTGGCCGGAGCCGGACTGACGACACGCGCCCCTGGCTTGGTGCGTGGAGCAGGAATGGACCGGAACGGGCTGGCGACGCACACCACCGACTTGGTGCGGAGAGCAGGAACGAGCCGGACAGGGCTGACGAGACGCACCACAGACTTGGTGCGGGAAGCTTGGATGGGCCGGACTGGGCTGGCGACGCGCACCACAGACTCGGTGCGGAGAGCAGGAACGGACCGTGCCGGACTGACGACGCACCCCACTGGCTTGGTGTGGACAGCAGGAACGGGCCGATCCGGGCGGCCGAAACGCACCATAGACTTGGTGCGGGGAGCTTGGATGGGCCGGACTGGGCTGGCGACGCGCACCACAGACTCGGTGCGGAGAGCAGGAACGGGCCGTGCCGGACTGACGACGCACACCACTGGCTTGGTGTGGACAGCAGGAACGGGCCGATCCGGGCGGCCGAAACGCACCACAGACTTGGTGCGGGGAGCAGGAATGGGCCGGACCGGGCTGGCGACGCGCACCACAGGCTTAGTGCGGGAAGCAGGAACAGGCCGGGCCGGGCTGGCGACGCGCACCACAGACTTGGTGCGGAGAGCAGGAACGGGCCGGACCGGGCTGGCGACGCGCACCACCGGCCCCACGCAGAGATCAGGAACGGGCCGGACCGGACTGGACACACACCCCAGTACCTCTCGCCGTGCCTCCACACTATCCCTCTCCTCTGTGACCAGTGGCCCCCTCAACCTGGCGGCCTCCTCTTCACACCCGCTGGACCGCTCCATCGCGGCCTCCTGCTGCCCCGTCGTCCACGTCGTGAGCCCCCCCCTAAAAATTTTCTGGGGTTCTCTCCTCCCCGTGGACCAGGCCTCCCTAGCTCTCGTCAGACTCTCGATCCATTGCTTCATCGACCAGCCTCTCTCCTCTTCATTTAGCGTGGCCCAGCCGAAACTCCTACTCCCCTGATCCCAGGTCCTTCCTTTCTCCTCCTCACGCTGCTTGGTCTGGTACTGGTGGGATTTTCTGTCACGATCGTCTAGAACAGGAGACCAAGGCGCAGCGTTGCGAGTGAACATATTATATTTATTAAATGCTCACAACAACAAAAGCAATAAACAACGAAAGCGTGACGTCCAGTGTACAACACGAACACACACGAACAAAATCCCACAACCCGAAAGGAAAACAGATAGATTAAATATGGCTCCCAATCAGAGACAAACAGCCGACAGCTGACACTCGTTTGCCTCTGATTGGGAGTCACACCGGCAAACATAGAAAATAAACCACCTAGAACACCCACCAGAGAAACCGAAAACATAGAATGAACACACCCTGGTTCAACATAATGAGTCCCCGAACCAGGGTGTGACAGTCAACTTGTCTATAATTAGATAAATGCAGCTTCTCTTCTGTCATTATATGTTGCCCTAGAATACTAAATAAACCCTTGCTCACCAGAATAATGTAATAAATTGATAGAATGAATGCTTCAATCTAGTTGACATCGGTCAATTTTTCTCTGTGATCTCTGCCTCTTTCGCGGCGCGAAGACGTTTAGGGATCGAGGAGAAAATGCAATAACATTTATTTTATTTATTTATTTGTGCAAAAAATCAGTTTGACCGGTTCTAAGGAAATAGAAAGCTGTGAAAACGACCCAACATGTTTCTGATAAGATTTCTTACGAAAAAGTAAGAGCGTCTGCTAAATGACTAAAATGTAAATGTAAACATTTCAGTTCGGCTTGGATTCATATTTTATGGGGTTGAAATACTTTCAGCTTTTATGATGCTGATAAAGATAGCACCTTTACAGACAGTATCTATCTGTGCATTTGCATTCTCACAAGATGCTGAAAGAAATAAATAATATTTCTCTACTCCTGTTCCAGAGTCAACATTTACTGCAAGAAATGCTTAATTCTGCAGGAGTTAATATTAAGGCTGTGTGAGAGGTTATTGACAGTGTCCAGATTTCAGTTTCCATTTAACCCATCTGAACAGTAGGCTACAGTTCCCTTGACGTGCCATAGGCCTATTTGAAGTCCCCGTCTTGTGACTGTCGAATATGTATAGCGCCTCACAATCATCACACATATAACACTGCTATAATCCTCTTTTACCACTTCACCAAATCTTTCCCAAACATTACTTTTCTGGCCCTCCCTTCTCTTTATTTTCAAATCTCAATTTGAATTGAATTAAACTCTGACATTGCCCTTTTTGCCTCTGGATGACGTTAACCTTTTCTGTCTGTTCCCAAAAGCATTTGGCGATTGGCATGTAGGCTACAGTTAGCCCCTAAAGCTTAGGCTTACTCACTAATGCCAGATAGCCTAAAATAATGAAAGAAAACCTCAATGTAGCCCATAGATATAAACTGCACAAGAATTAGGTCCAAAAGGCTCCATAACAGCTTCTACCTCGAAGCCATAAGACTGCTGAACAATTAATCAAATGGCCACCTGGACTATTTGCGTTGACCCCCCCCCCCCCTTTGTTTTTACACTGCTGCTACTCGCTGTTTATTATCTATGCATAGTCACTTTACCCCTACCTACATGTACAAATTACCTCGACTAACCTGTACCCCCGCACATTGACTCGGTACCGGAACCCCCTGTATATAGCCTCATTATTGTTATTCTATTGTGTTCTTTTTTTATTTCTTACTTTAGTTTATTTAGTAAATATTTTCTTAAAACTGCATTGTTGGTTAAGGGCTTGTAAGTAAGCATTTCACGGTAAGGTCTACACCTGTTGTATTCGGCGCATGTGACAAATAAGATTTGATTTGATACATTTATGGATTTTTTAAGGTATTGTTTTCTGTTTCTTCAACCCACCCGCCACCCACCCGCCCTTCTTCCGCACAATATTTCATGATCATAAACTCGCCCGCCCCACAGATACAACCTGCTGCATTACCACTAGCCCAGCCAGGCCTTGATTTTCTTCAAACACGTTTAGGGAAGCCAAAAAGTTGAATTCCATGCTCATGTTTTTCTTATACGGTTTGATAAGACAGTTGAATTCCATGTGTATTTAATGTGTGCTGCTCTTGCAGGTGAGTCGTCTACTGATGCTAGGCGGGGCCAATGTGAACTACAGGACAGAGGTGCTGAACAACGGCCCAGTGCTGTGTGTCCAGTCCCACCTGGGCCACCAGGAGATGGCCGGCCTGTTGCTGGAGTTCGGGGCTACCGTGGACGTGGTGTCCGAGAACGGCATGAGCCCTCTCTGCTTCGCCTCGGCTGCCGGACACCTGGGTTTAGTCAGCCTGCTCAGCAAGAGAGGAGCCAAGGTTGGTGGCACTGCCCCTAGACTCACCCTCAGACAACTACAGGATCAGGGCTAACCTCTATCCCAGCTTTTCCCTTAACACTAGAACCGCTGGTCCTCGATGGACCCCCCTTCAAGCTAATGAGCAGTGTATCTAACAGTGTATTTCATATATTTCATATATGCTATCGCAAAAATAATCATTTGGTTGTGTTTAGAAGGCCTTGGGTAACATTAGAATATGATTTTTATTTTATTTCAAATAACACAATAGCATTTTCATTAGTTTACTGTAGTTTACTGTAGGCTATATGTAAAAACAAAAATCCCCCAAAAACGCCAGAATTCAAGTGTTCAATCAATTTTATTTGTGGAATACCTTTGTTACAATTATGAAACAGAAAGCATATGTTCTGGAACACAGTAACAGCTTATTTTTATAACTACAAAATAAATATACCCCAACCACAAGAAGCACAGTCAAATTATGAAAACATCAGTAGCCTAAACATCATTATAAGCGCCAAGTGGCCTTTATAAATAGTGAAACTCGACACAAAAGCAATAATGCCATGATAATGATATGACAGCAGTAAGAAATTGTCAATTATTGTCAGCTCGTGCTTATATTATGTGCATCTTGACGCAATGGCATCAGTTGGATTTCATTTATCTGTTATCCCTTGTCCTAACAGTTGGCACAATTTTCGTAACTTTCACTTCCTTGACACACTTTGACATACCTTTGTTTGGTTGTAGTGCTAAATAGTCTCAGATTTTCTCTTTATTGTGTCCCGTTGTCTTGTCATTCTTCAGCACCGTTTTGGAGTACAACGGCTGTGCAGGTGCCTTATTTTGCGCAGCGGGAGGGAGCTCCCATCTCACTTTGTTCATGGTGCCGGCCAGACTTGTTTTCTTTGCAAGAAAATTGTTAGCCAATGACAGTGAAGTTAAGAAATTGTCCATGGTGACATTTCTCCCCTTGCCAACGTAAGGTTCCACAAGCCCCATCACCGCATTATCCAACACTTGCTAGATATTGAAAGCCGTTCAGTGTGTACAAATATGCACGCTCTCACTGTGTAGCATACTCGGAGTAGGCCAGAGTAGACTGATAAGACTGTTTTGATTCGGTGGACTGATATAGGGTACATACCATTTTAAGGTTATGATTAGAATGGATTAATGCAATTGAATGGCCCGCCCTGTTCTTCATTCTCAATTGGTAATTCGATAATTATGCATAATTTGCTTCCTCTCGCTCATCAACTCACCCATTCTCCCCATCATACTTTGCTTAATTTATTTCATCTGTTGTTATATGTGTAAAATTAGTTTCGGTATAGTTTAGGTTCAGTTTCGAGGCAATTATTGGGGTGATTATCAGCTGGGCACTGCACTTTCAACTGTCGAAAGAAGGAGCTGAGCTGGCCCTACTGTTGGGAGAAGGAGGGGCAAAGGAGGAAAACCGTTCAAAGAAATGAGATTAAGATTCTAACACCAACAGTGTGTTATATAGACTTATTTAGGAAACGTCAAGGACGGAGGGGGGCATGACTTAAAAAATGGCATAGTAATAAACAATTAAAATCATGAGCAGTCAAAATGACTGCTTTAGTGGTTCTAGAGTTAAAAGTGAATGCTAGATGACAGAGACTGGCAACACAATATTAGATCAGGGCAAATACAGCTATTAGTACCAGGGGAGACATTAGAACTAAGATCATATTTTGGAACCCTAGCTTAAAGGTTTTGATAAGACCTCACATAGATTGTAAAGCTACTCTGGGAGAGTGTAGGAGGAGCTATGTCACTGTATTACAGCAGATAAAACATGGTCAGATGAGCCCTGTTATTGTTTTGTTGCAGGTTGACCATGTGGATAAGAGCGGTCAGTGTGCTCTGGTCCATGCTGCTCTGAGGTGCCACCCTGACATCATCCAGTACCTCCTGGAGCTGGAGTGGACCGCCGAGGGCCAGCAGCAGAACTGCAGTCTGAAGAACAAGGCCCTCCAGCAGGCTCTGATCGCTGCCTCCAGCATGGGACACACACAGGTCAGTCAAGAGACACCTGTTGAATCCCAAATGGCACACGTTGCAACCACTCACTGTACTGCACAGGGCTCGTACGGTCATGAAAATCCTGGAAAAGTCATGGAATTAGAAAATAGTTTTCCAGGCCTGGTAAAGTAGGGTAGTGCCGATCTCGTCATACTTGTATTCGTAATCGTATCCGTTTCATCTCGTGATCGGAAAACCCAGAAGTGCACTTTAAATGTCAGTAAAGCCTATACCTCAAGTGCACATTACTGCGCTATCACTCAGACTGCATCTCATAGCACATCGTTATGTTCCTTCACTCATTCACACACATTGTTAAATGACCCCAACAGATGAAAATGCTCATGATTTACTTACTTAGTCCTTTTCAATTATCAATGAAATTGGCTAATAAATACCGTAATGCATGGCTGGCTACTACTGCCTGCATTTATTCCAGACACAGATTTAGATGAAAGTAGGCTAATTCGCTTTAGCAATATATTGTTTCACTTTCGAGAAGAGCAAATCTTTTATCTCCTGACACTTACAGTGAGGGAAAAAGGTATTTAATCCCCTGCTGATTTTGTACATTTGCCCACTGACAAAGACATGATCAGTCTATAATTTTAATGGTAGGTTTATTTGAACAGTGAAAGACAGAATAACAACAAAAAAATCCAGAAAAATGCATGTCAAAAATGTTATACATTGATTTGCATTTTAATGAGGGAAATAAGTATTTGACCCCTCTGCAAAACATGACTTAGTACTTGGTGGCAAAACCCTTGTTGGCAATCACAGAGGTCAGACGTTTCTTGTAGTTGGCCTCCAGGTTGGCACACATCTCAGGAGGGATTTTGTCCCACTCCTCTTTGCAGATCTTCTCCAAGTCATTAAGGTTTCGAGGCTGACGTTTGGCAACTCAAACCTTCAGCTCCCTCCACAGATTTTCTATGGGATTAAGGTCTGGAGACTGGCTAGGCCACTCCAGGACCTTAATGTGCTTCTTCTTGAGCCACTCCTTTGTTGCCTTGGCTGTGTGTTTTGGGTCATTGTCATGCTGGAATACCCATCCACGACCCATTTTCAATGCCCTGGCTGAGGGAAGGTTCTCACCCAAGATTTGACGGTACATGGCCCCATCCATCGTCCCTTTGATGCAGTGAAGTTGTTCTGTCCCCTTAGCAGAAAAACACCCCCAAAGTATAATGTTTCCACCTCCATGTTTGACGGTGGGGATGGTTTTCTTGGGGTCATAGGCAGCATTCCTCCTCCAAACACGGCGAGTTGAGTTGATGCCAAAGAGCTCGATTTTGGTCTCATCTGACCACAACACTTTCACCCAGTTCTCCTCTGAATCATTCAGATGTTCATTGGCAAACTTTAGACAGGCCTGTATATGTGCTTTCTTGAGCAGGGGGACCTGGCGGGCGCTGCAGGATTTCAGTCCTTCACGGCGTAGTGTGTTACCAATTGTTTTCTTGGTGACTATGGTCCCAGCTGCCTTGAGATCATTGACAAGATCCTTCCGTGTAGTTCTGGGCTGATTCCTCACCGTTCTCATGATCATTGCAACTCCACGAGGTGAGATCTTGCATGGAGCCCCAGGCCGAGGGAGATTGACAGTTATTTTGTGTTTCTTTCATCTGCGAATAATCGCACCAACTGTTGTCACCTTCTCACCAAGCTGCTTGTCGATGGTCTTGTAGCCCATTCCAGCCTTGTGTAGGTCTACAATCTTGTCCCTGACATCCTTGGAGAGCTCTTTGGTCTTGGCCATGGTGGAGAGTTTTTGGAATCTGATTGATTGATTGCTTCTGTGGACAGGTGTCTTTTATACAGGTAACAAGCTGAGATTAGGAGCCCTCCCTTTAAGAGTGTGCTCCTCATCTCAGCTCGTTACCTGTATAAAAGACACCTGGGAGCCAGAAATCTTTGTGATTGAGAGGGGGTCAAATACTTATTTCCCTCATTAAAATGCAAATCAATTTGTAACATCTTTGACATGCGTTTTTCTGGATTTTTTTGTTGTTATTCTGTCTCTCACTGTTCAAATAAACCTACCATTAAAATTATAGACTGATCATTTATTTGTCAGTGGGCAAACGTACAAAATCAGCAGGGGATCAAATACTTTTTTCCCTCACTGTATGCCACAACATTTCTACAGTCAAAATAAACTGTACATTTGTCATTTTATTTTCTAATGATCTGTCGCTCGGTAAACATGCCTGGGTGAGAATAAATAATAATAGCAAGCAAGCATGTGTTTGGATCACGACAGAACGACAGACGTCATCAGCAATGGAATAATTATACGGACAGACAAAGTAGGCCTACTAAACAACGGCAAGTAGTCAGACAGAAACAACCATATGGCCTAAGCAAAGTCGACAGGAAATAACTATATTGAACAACAATGACTAGCTACAGATTCTGATTCATACAGGATGTTTGGAGAAGTGGAGACTTGTTCCCTGAGACGAGTGACTATGAGTGAGTGAAACAGCCACGCCTGTCTGGGGAAATGAGAGCAGAGGGAGAGCGACTTGGTCTAATCCAATCGTTGCAGCAGGCTCAACCGATACCCCGCTCATTTCTTTACAGACAGAAGAACTAGCCAATAGTTGTTTAGAGCACACAGCGCATCACACTGTTTGAGTGAAAGAGAGATGTGCGCTTGCAGCAGAAAATATTTTTTTTTAGATCACAGATAATTACAAAAAATACTTGTGTCATAATAGTATTCGGAAAATTCTCCATATCCGTTACAATACTCGTTTTGTCCAAGTACTCGGCACCCCCCTATGGAAAGGTTTTGGAAAATAATACAATCCGAAATGTTTTGAAAAAGTCATGGAAATTAGTTTAATAATTTTGCCTCATGTAAATCATTTAGGCACACTTTTTAAATATTGTATAAATCACGTAAAAATCTACATATCAGTCATGATCGGAATGATCCTTCATCACACGTCTCTGTGTGTGTGTGTGCATACTTGCGTATGTGTCCTAAAAACTTGCCACTGGCAAATGGCTGACATGCAGTTGATGAATATTAGGAGTTGAGAAATACATCTGACACTGTTGGAAAGCTGGCATTCCCCTCTAATCAACAGTAGCCATGTTATTCTGACAATGTTAAAGAAATATTCTTAAAATAGCCTAATTGACAAACAACTCCCATGCTGTCATTAGATCTCCCCTGAAACCTGAATATTTTAGCCTTAGAATGTTATAGATAAACATGTCTTCGTTAGCTACCTTCCTTTGAAGGTGCCTGCCTTTATAGCCATTTGATCCCTGATTCATTGAAAGAGGGAATGATTTTATAAAGACATAAAAAGTAGTTGTTTGTAATGTTGCCATATTTTATATCAAGAGTGGCCAACCATCCCCCAGGAGAGCTACTTGGTGTGCAGGCTTTTGTTCCAGCCCGCTATAACACAGCACATTCAAAAAATCAGCTGCTCAACAGGACCTTGATAAGCTGACTCGGGTGTGTTTAAGCAGGGCTGGATCAAATTAGCTCTCTAGATGGTGGGTTGACCACATGTGTTTTGTACAGTAGCCTTACAATGCTGTTATTCAATTTTGTGGGGGGTTAAGTGCCTTGCTCAAGGGCACAGCGGCAGGAGATGGTACAAGTGATCAGAGTCCTCATTTATGCTAGCTTTTTCATGTATACATGGAGACCACCAAATTATTGGTCATGGAAATGTGGTTAAAAGTCATGGAGAAGTCAGGGAAAAGTAATGAAATTCCATGTGTCAAAAAGTGTATGAACCCTGACTGCAATGTACTGTACACCCACACTATCCACACGGGTCAGTTCTGTACTGTACACAGGAGAGTTCTCCCACAGAGTCTCTCACCTGTACAATTCCACAACACAACCTCACCTCTGTGCTTTGGAAACAAAGATGATTCCACTGAAAACTTCAGCAGCAGGTTCTTCTTGGTTTCACATATGAAATAGGCTGTAGGTCTGCAGCAGTGGAGGCTGCTGAGGGGAGGATGGCGCATAATAATGGCTGAAACGGAGCAAATGGAATGGCATCAAACCATGTGTTTGATGTATTTGATACCATTCCACCAATTCTGCTCCAGTCATTACCATGAGCCTGTCCTCCCCAATTAAGGTGCCACCAACCTCCTGTGGTCTGCAGCTAGCTGCCCAGGAGAGGAGCATAGTGGGCTGTGGGTTAGGGATGGGCATTGAAATGATTTCACTATTCAAATCATATCATGCTATTGTTTCGGATATCCAGATTGTCGAAATACATGTTTTAAAGAAAACATGTTTTGGGGAAACTTCAATGGAGACTTGCTCGCGCGATTCGAGAGAGAGCCGGTGCGCTGCGCTCTGCTTGTTTGAGCAGAATTGTGGGGGAGGGGTGAGAGATACGAAGGGGCCGGTGTGTGACCGTCTATGTGCGTGGCAAGGAGAGAGAGAAAGTAGCCAAACCGTCTCGCGTTAGACAAACTTGTAGCTGCCATAGGTTATCTATCATATCATCTGATAGTGCCTGTCTTGACTGCATTACATCGCTGTAAAGAAGCTAGCTAGCGACAGGAGCCAGCTAAGTTAGCCAACTAGCTAGCTAAAGTAGCAAGGCTAATTGAGTCCATTTTGCTGCACTCCCTGTACTTGTCTACAACAACTCCATTCATATGAAACAACAGCCTACTCCTTCTCATTTAGCCAACTTAATTCCGTAATTTTAATTCCATTTAGCAGTTATTAGAAATCTCCCACTTCATTGCTACACATGGAGCCGCTTTGATTGACCGACAATAACAACAAGCTACACGCGTGAAACGTGTATAGGCTACCGGTGCGTCTTTGTTTTATTAAAATGTCAAATGTAATGGTCTATCCTTGTAGGCTATGTAGTAATGTCACAGATAATTTGATTACATTTTAGACACAGCCAAATATAGGCCGATTTTTTCCCACAAAAATTAATACTCTCCCAAGTAATCGAATACTAACTTTGAATAACCGTGCC